ATCAGCCCCTCAGCTATCGATGTGTCGTGGTCCCCCCGCCCAAACATGCCCAGGAATGGAGATACAGGACCGTGAAACACGCTACTTCCTCCATGCTCCGCCTTACACCTTTTTGCGGCGCAGATTCCCGTCCTATTTGACAGCTGGGGGGCTGATAGTCTCATACACCCTCAATGTGTTTGAGCGTGCCATGCGTCTTTAAGCTTGAAAATCACACTCAACTGGCACGACTTTTACTCCGATTGCCGTGAAGATCTTGTCACTTACGTGAGTGGATGGCTCTGAGAAGCTCAATGCCTGTCAGTACGATGGTGTTATAATGTTGGTGGGCAGATGACATGCATACTTCTTACTGTCGAGGGTTTGACAGGATAAAAACTGGCACCAGAACTCTCTAGCCTGCACCACTACTACCACTACCTGCTTGATCCTGAGGCACAAGTTGGCGGTAGACTAGGGAATGTTGTCCTTATTCTTGAAGTTGAATAATAAGATTTTATCTGAAATCTTGCACTTGTAATTACATAACGTCTACATACTTTTTGTCGAGCGTTCTATGTTTATTGTTTTCTAGAAAGGCCCATATTATAGGTGCGGTCAACAGGCCCCATTGACCCAATTACGCACCAGCCTGTGAAAGGACGTAAGAAAGGTGGTGGTATTCGATTTGGAGAAATGGAAAGAGATGCTATAATTGCCCACGGAACGGCTTTTGTTTTACAGGTTTGCGGGCTTTCTTGCTTTTGCTTTGTTCTACAACTTGAATTTTAAAATTACTGGATAATTCTGCTTTTAAGGACCGATTGCTAAACTGCTCCGACCGCGATGTTGCATATGCATGTCGTCGCTGTGGTTCTTTATTGTCAGTACTCATGGATACGAAAGCTGCAGCTGTTAAATCTCGAAGAGTACGTTCGTGAGAAGAGATTGATGATCTTCTGATCTGCGTTCTGACTTCGCGACTATTCGTGCCGCCTCCTATTGATGCATAGCCGTTGCAGTCGCGCTTTAATGCTACCAATTATAAGACCGCTCTAACATCTTACCTGTCTTTCTTCGATCAGCCCCTTTTTCTTCTTAGTAGTTTTTATCATTGAATTCCCAGTTTTTCAATTCCAAAACCAAGGGCTAATTTAAATGTTCACGGATTCTAGCTCACAGTCTGATTCGGGTGGATAAATTGGGTTACTAGTCACAGATTTTAGACTGGTGCCGAGAAAAGCAGCTAGGTATCAATATAATCATCGGTGATTGATCGTGACCATCAACTATTTGTCGCACAGTTTATTCTAGTGAATTTTTTATTCTTTGCCCTCTGCAGTACAACAACAGCGCGTCACTGCAGAGTCTAAACCCGCAAGGGAAGGATACCAAGTCGCCATGGCCGTTCAGGATGATATGTATGCTACTAAATGTTGAATTGGAACAAGACTCAGTCCTCTTGAAACAAAGATACCCCTCGCTTCTTTTATCTAGGTGCTTCCAAATTACTACTCAAGTCAACGATCTACCAAGTAGTAGCGTTATAGCGCGAATTTGTACTGTAGCTTATAGCGCGTCATTGCAAAGTCTGAACTTCACAATCAGCCAAAGCGCTTTTTACCAACCCCAGCGTGCGATTTTTTTTCTACTGGACCGGTTGACCTCTTGAAGTTGGAGCCTCTACACACCTCCTCTTATCGTTAAGCATGATATATGATTGCTGTTGAGTGGTTTTGTCGCCGTCACCCGGTAAATCAATCAATTAGCCGCGCGTGTGGCGAGTGGGCGGCCGTTAGTTACGCTGACGAGTCTCCGCACCAACGTGGTCGCATGCGGCACATTCACCTTCGATTGAACTTCCCCATGTGTTAGGACATCAGGCGACAAATCCTTCGACATCATTGTTTTAATGAGCTAGGATATTCGAGTGTTTAGGGAGCAATTTCTGCCGATGATTACACTGAGAAGCAAATGTGCAGAAATTGTGGGAAAGAAGATGAAGTCTATCTTGTGCAGGTGAGTTTCTACGTTTAATGTTTGATATTGACTATAATTAACCATTACAGGTACCGCGTGTGTTTCGTATTGAGCGTGCGGATGTTAGCCCGCAATGAAACATTAAAAATTTCCACCTTGGAAATCTAGAACGCGATTTCGCCAAAGTTGCGAGAGCCTAGTTTTGGCACCGAATTGTTCCAATTGTTCTATTTCGTTCTTTGCAATGTTATCCCACAATTTTCCTGTTGAAAGTTCTCTAAGATAGGCGACCATTTTGTCAGAGCGCCTAAAAAGCTCAGCCTAGCTGTGTTCGAGAACTGTCAGTTAATTCTTGTTAACTTGCTAGAGTTTTGGCTATTGAAGCCATGTTAGAAACTTCGTACCATGTCTATAGATTATTGTTATACCGTTGTTAGAGTTTGTTGTTGATGAGAATTCGACAACTTCGGTATTTTACAAGCCCGTTAGGATTGGTTTACCTGTTGAGCCACTGTGTACGAGAATGCTAGGTTGAGTGAGATTCAGAGTCTGTTTTCCAAAATAAAAATACTTTTAGAAGTCTTGTTGCACACGACGAGCTTTCGTAGGTTCCTCATTAATGAAAATAGCAATACAGAGTTCAATTCAATCCACCATTTCCCCATTCCTCCCACATATAATGTGCTAAATGGCAAAGCATAACCAATTGGTCATCAAAGACAGGGTTGTATTGGCACATCTGGAAATGAGCTATCAGGTATAATTTCGGAATCCCAACACGGCTTTCAAAAGGGTAGGTCCCCGATTACAGCTATGCTTCAATCCCTCAATGACTGGACCGTCTGTCTTGATAAGGGGTTGTGTACGGATGTCATTTATCTTGACTTCGCCAAGGCATTTGACAGAGTCTCCCATGCAAAGCTCATTAATAAGCTTGTCTTAATTGGTATTCACCCCAGAATTATACTTTGGTTGAAAGCCTTTCTTACCAATAGGTCCTACCTTGTTCGAGTCAA